AGTTGTGACCCCTTGTCCCTGTGTCCCCTCTCTGGAACATCCTATCTCTGTCCACCTTGTCTATTCCCCGCAGTATCTTGTATGTCGTTATCATGTCTCCCCTGACCCTTCTGTCCTCCAGTGTCAGTGTCAGTCCGATTTCCCTTAACCTTTCCTCGTACGACATTCCCTTGAGCTCTGGGACTAGCCTTGTTGCAAACCTTTGTACTTTCTCTAACTTCTTGACGTGCTTGACCAGGTGTGGGTTCCAGACTGGTGCTGCATACTCCAGTATGGGCCTAACATACACAGTGTACAGTGTCTTGAACGATTCCTTAATAAGGTATCGGAACGCTATTCTCAGGTTTGCCAGGCGCCCGTATGCTGCAGCGGTTATTTGGTTGATGTGTGCCTCCGGTGATGTGCTCGGTGTTATGGTCACCCCAAGGTCTTTCTCCCTGAGTGAGGTCTGTAGTCTTTGTCCACCTAGCCTATACTCTGTCTGCGGTCTTCTTTGCCCTCCCCAATCTTCATGACTTTGCATTTGGCTGGATTGAATTCGAGAAGCCAGTTACTGGACCACATGTCCAGCCTCTCCAGGTCTCTTTTGCAGTCCTGCCTCATCCTCGTCCGATTTAATTCTTCTCATCAAAATTCACGTCATCTGCGAACAGGGACACTTCAGAGTCATTCCTTCCATCATGTCGTTCACATATATAAAAAATAGCACTGGTCCAGAACTGACCCCTGTGGGACCCCGCTCGTAACAGGCGCCCCCTGTGATACCTCTTCACGTACCATGACTCGTTGCTGCCTCCCTGTCAGGTATCCCCTTTTCCATTGCAGTGCCCTTCCTTTTAAAGTGTGCCTGATCCTCCAGCTTCTGCACTAATCTCTTGTGGGAACTGTGTCAAAGGCTTCTGCAGTCTAGGAAAACGCAATCTACCCAAAACCCCCTCTCCCCGTGTCTTACTTCTGTTACCTTGTCATAAAACTCCAGGAGGTTTGGATACGATTTCCCTCCTGAACCCATGCTGGTTTTCATTAAATCTTGTTCCTTTCCAGGGTTCGATCACTCTCCTCCGAAATCTTTCCATGTTTGCACACAAATACAGAGCCACGGGTCTTAGTTTAGTGCCTGTTTTCTTTTCCTTTTCTTAAATTGGGGGGACTACATTAGTGTCCTTCCATTTCTCAGGTAGTTGCCAGTTTAAAGGGATGTGTTGAAGTTGGGTTAGAGTCCACACAGCATCTCTGCTCTTTCTAAGGACCCAGGGAGATTTTCCCGGTCCATCGCCTTTGAGTGTAAAGGGTCATTTAAAGAGCTTCTTCACCTCCTCCTCAGTTGTTGTATTCATCCAACACTTGTTGGTTTTCCCCCTTTTGATTTCCCTTCTGTGCTGTCTTCCCACACCCCTTCCTTTCTATTTAAAAAAACCCCTTTAAATCTCCTGTCAGCTCCTACTACCTCCTGATCATTTCTTGTGATTCTCCCCCTTCGTCCTTAATCGTCACCTGGTCTTTGACTGTTGTCTTCCCCCTATGTGGCATACAACAGTTTCGGGTCAGTTTGATTTCGATGCATGTCTTTTCATACTGTCGCTGGGCCCCCTCCTTACCTGTCGTCCTTTCCCGGCTCTGCGACTGACCCCTTTTTTTGTGTGTTCTCCCTTCGTACTTTTTCCATTCTCTTTGCATTTTGTTTTTGCCTCCTTACACCGCGTAAACCAGGGGCTCATTCTGGTCTTCCCGTTGTTTCTGTTCCCCTTGGGAATAAACCTTTTTCCCCTGCTCCTTTCATTTTGTTGCTACATATTCCATCATTTTATTTACGGCTTCCTGCCAGTTCTCGTCCCATGGACCTCCCCCCAGGAAGTTCTTCAACCCTATGTAGCCCCCCTTTTAAAGTCAGGCTTTTCCCTTCTACCCTGTTATCTCTCCCTTGCAGGGGTTTCAGTATTCAAACACAGAACACGTGGGCGCTACTCCTAGGGGGCTCTCATATTTATTCCTCAATGTCTAGCTGCCCGGGGAAAACCCAAAGGGCCAATCTTTCCCGGTTCATCCTCCCCCTCCCCCTCTGGTAGTGTCCTTTAAAAGTTGGTGCATAGGTTTTTCCCCGCACCACGTCCAACATCCCGGCTCTCCATGTTTTTGGGACCCCCCTGGGCTCCAGGTTTTTCCCCTCAAAACCCCTGGTTAAAAACCCCCATAACCAGCAACTTTTGCTCTGTGGAGTGAGCTTCTTGCCACCTCGCAAGTGTGTCCACCATTGCTTTTTTGCCTCTTCAATTCCCCTCTTGGCCTCCGCAGTTCTGTGGGGGATTATCTCACGGGAATGACCCCTTTGTGTTCCCCAGACTGAAGGTACCTGCTATTTCTCTTTCTCCCCTCATCATTCCCTTCTTTTTTCTCGAATTTCCATCTGTTTTTTTTCGAGCAGAGCAACCCCCCCCCCCCCCAGCCCCTTTTTATTTCCTCATGATCTGGTATCCTGGTGGGGGGATTTCATCTGTTTTTGCTCCGGAGTTTTTTTTCTGTAACCTTGATGTCTGGGA